ATTCTCCAAAGTAAGATGGGCAGGACATGCAAGATAACAATCTCATCTTAAAGTCAAGCTTCTACCAGACAGGTAGCCTATGGAGTGAAACCAATGCTGGTGTTAATCTGCTCATTTTTTCTTGTTCCTAGTAAAAGAGGAGCAACAGCATTTTGTACAACCTGTAACAAGAAGCACAAATGTTTACCTCACCATTTCAGCACAGTTTGTCCCATGCTCTGGACATGAACCTTGCCATGACCCCTTTTCATTTTCCTTCTTGTCCCATTTCATCACTTTCATTTAATTAAACTTTTTTCTGGTTGTTTACATGTTCCTCCTTTTCAACAAGGATACTCCAGAGAAAAATACAGAGGGTTTCCAATCCACACCCAGCCGGTTCCATATTAGATAAATCTTTATGCAGTTCAATCCAATATTCCAAACGTTCTTGATATTTTCTTCCTTTATCTAACATTTACTTAACTCTCTGTGGAGGTCTGAGGCTGTTCCTCATGTTACCCATTGAGCATCACAATAAATAAAAAAAAAACTCTGAAAAGTTGAGAACAATTTACTTTAAAGTCAATAAATGTTTCACAGTTGTTATAGTTGATAAAAAAAAAATTAGAATATCATCTGCAAAACAGTAGAACAAGATATACTGTCTTAAAAATGGATCCTGAAAGTAAAATGTATCATGAAAACAGGACAATGCATCATGAAAACAGGATAGGGCCAAGGATGGAGCCTTGAGGAACATCACGTAAGTTGCAGTAGAATAATGTAAATGTAAATTAACTGAGAAACTCACATTTGTCAGAAATGACGACATAACTATTTAAGAACAATAAATAGACGGCTGCCTCTCGTTCTGCTGTTCTGTAATAAAAGGTGTACAGACACTTACTCTGCATTGCAAACGCCTCCCCAGGCACAGAGATGTAGCTCCTCCCTTGTGTGGGGAAACGGTAATTTGGCAAATTGAAGTTCTGTGAGAATTTCATCAGAGAGTAATCTGTTGGTGTAAGAAAATGAAGAGCTGTTGAGGAAAACAAACTGAGAAACAAATAAAGGTGAAGGGTGGAAAATATAACCCACTGACTGAGGAAGAGCACTGAACTGACTCATTTCTGACCTGCGACTGAAGATGCTCCACCCAGGGAAAAGAGGGCGCTCGAGGTGGGCTCCATGTTTGTCACCATATGGTCCATCACCCTGTCCACTGTCTCGATCAAACTGCTGACCACCGGGGTGGACTGCTGCCCAACGACACATCCAGAAAATGTTCACTGTCAGCGGCTTTTCATACACACCTATAATCATGTTCCAGGCATTTCTTGTCGGCTCTTTTTTCAAATAAAAACTTAATTTGTGGAAAATTAGACACACAACTTCCAACTAATTTTACATGAAAAATGTATTTCAGGTTCACAGCTTGTCTAAAGAAGACAATTTAAATTAGACAGCTTGTTTTTCAAAAGAAAAAAACAAAACTAGATATTTGACTTACTCTTTTACGTTTTATTCTTTGCAAAATGTCAGTGTGAATGCCGATTGCTGAAGGACAGCAGAAGTTTGATGAAGAAGCTGAAACTGAGTTGTTAAAGCTATAGGAAGCAGAACACTAGCTAAAAGCTAAAATAAAAATAATGCTAGTTTGGGTGAAAGTAGCAAAAACTATCTCAAAGAAAAATGAGGGGAAAAAAGTGAAAATTAACAAAAAGCTAACTGAAATTATCAAAAAGCTAGCTAGGAACTAAAAGTAGCAAAGGCTGACTAAATAAAACCAGCTGTTAGCTAAAAGTCACAAAAGGCTAGATAAAATTTTATAAGTGTCACAAAGCAAAATGGAAGTATAAAAAGGCTAGCTAGAAGCTAAAAGTAGCAAAAAGTTGGCTAATGCTAAAGGAGCAAAAAAGTTAGGTGAAAGTTAAAATTAGCAAATAACTAGCTAAAAGCTAAGCGTTGCATAATGTTTGCCGAATCCTAAAAGTAGCATAAGAAGATGAAACGCATGCTGAAGCAGATTTCAAGGAAATAACGTTTTTTAAAACAATAAAAAGACAATGCACTGTTATGGAGAAAACGTTTCTAAATAAAGGTAAATATGTTTTAAAAAGTGTAAAGATAATGTAATGAGCAACAAAGTCCATGCTCAATAATCCAGGTATACAATCCAACAATTTTCAGTCAGGTCATCTGGACAGTTTCTATTTTTTGTGCTGAAACGTTTCACCTTCCACCCAGAAGGCTTCATCAGTCAAGGAAACACACAACACAACACTGATTCTTCCCCCAACAGCTTACTCCAAAGTGGAACAAACCAGTTATGTTGGTGCTAAGATGGTGTCTTTGGCAAATGTATTCCTCGTCGACAGTCATGCCAAAGAGACCATCTTAGCACCAACATGACATAACCACTTTGGAGTAAGCTATTGGGGGAAGAATCAGTTTTGTGTTTCCTTGACTGATGAAGCCTTCTGGATGGAAGGTGAAACGTTTCAGCACAAAAAAAATAAACTGTCCAGATGACCTGACTGAAAATTGTTGGATAATGTAATGATAAAACCAAAAAGTCATAGCAATCTTCTCCTGACTGAGTTAAATGCTTTGATGAAAAAAAAAATGGGAAAAAAATCTCAGTTTGCAGAAATTTTTAAAATTGCAGAGTGAGAGAAAATACAGGAAAACGAGTGAATTCTGAATCAGCATAAAACGACGAGAAAGACAGATGATTAATTTACTGTAGTTTACATGTAAATATTCCTTTAAACCTGGCCTGCGACTTGTCTGGCTTCACTGTGCAATGCACACTGTACATACTCGTCATGGATGACAGGAACATGTGTTTTAATTTGACCTTGTAAAACAAAACATGCATTTTCTGAGCACTCAGTGCAATGAAACCACAAAAACATTTAAGCATGAGCGCATGGCGATTTGAGCAGGGAGAGTGTATAGGACAGCAAGTTGCCAGTTCACTTTGAAGGCGTTGTGTTGTAAAACTCTTTAAGTCCTGGAGAATGCGCTCAGCAGCACTCTGTTCGATTACAGACGGTAATAATGTGCGGGCATACTGCCATTTACTGTTACTGTTTTAGGCTCCACTCTTACCCCAAATATGCAACGTTTAAGAAGTGCACCGAGTGCCTCATCGCCCTGGCTTCAAGTCAAATGGCATATGCTATATTGTGTCATGTTTGGACATTCCACAGCAACAGTGTGAACTCATTTACCTCTGGCAGTCCAGGAGAGGACAGGACTTCTTCCACACTTTTGAGAAAAGCCTGGATGGAAGAAAACGGACATCGTGGAACCGTTGCATCATATGCACGTGGGTGGGCATTGTGTCTGTGTGTGAATTGGGTTTTGAAACTTTAAAGTGCTCCAAGACCTGTGTGAGGTTGTTGGCAGTGTTGTGAGGAATTGTCCCGTTGGACAGTGTCTTGAGGAAGTCCAGCACGGGTATGGTGTCCTGGTTCTGGGAGCGCTGGGCCACCTCTGGATGTCCGTTGACGACAGGCAGATTTGCTTCAGTGGCTCTCTGAGGAGACAACACATCCTTACTTATTAAAAACCCTATACTTGTTCCTTTAATTCAGAAAATCTTCAATAGAAAATGTTTATTATTGCTTCACATGTGTTCTCAGCATTCTTCTTCCTGTTTGCAGACAAAAGAAAACAACGCCACAATGAGAAACGATGTGTTTATGCTCATCCAGGCAAAAGCCTCTTTTTCCTCATATCAGGTTATATCAGGTCATTTCTCACACCATTTTAACAGGGTGGCTGCATTTAGGAATAAAACCTCACTAGTCCATGTGGCACGTAGCTTTATATACATAACAATTTGTCTGCTTACTTTTCAAATTAAAAGCCTAGCATTCACTCGTTGCTTTTTATGCCACTATTTTAAGATAATTTTATGTTGAGAAATGATGGAGATATAATAACTATTATAATAATTTTAAATAACATTATGCATAATTCCACATGATCTGTCGGCACTTTAAGTATTTGGTGCGGATGACTCTCATCTACTGCCACATAATATTTCAGCTCTATATTTGTCAAACTGACAGACTTACAGGCATTTTTCAGTTTGCTAAGGCTGATTAGCTTGGGCGGCCATCTTTAACCAGGTTCACTACTTGCGTTGCACATCTAATAATTAGATTCTTTACAAATTAAGTCACGAGTTCTTGAGTTGTTTTTTGCAAATCAACAGACGAAAAAAAGAAACATGCACACATGCAGTCACAGACAGACGCAACAACACTGTCGCCCAGCTCACAGCGGCGAGCGACGACAATATAAAGTTAAAGTTTGCACACTTACAGCTGTTGGTGCAGTTGATGTGAGTTCTTTGAAGTTTCTTAGTGTTGTGGTAGAAAATATACCCTGACCTAAAGGATAAAAACAGACTTCAGACTTCTAGATGCACATTTTCCAGTCAAGATAGCGTTGTTATTTTGGTTATTTTGCCGTTTAGTGCTTTGTTGAATCTTCCAGGGCAGGCTGCCGCGCTGCAGCTGGGTTTTATCAGCATAAAGCTTCTCTTTTGACTGTATCCTCATCCATGAAAGAACAAACTCCAGACACAAAGACTTGCAACTTTCACAAAACACTGATAAACAACCACACAACACGCTGCCTCCACCACTTGTCCAGGACTACCTTTTATGCCTTTGCTGTCATTTATTAAAAACAGCACTGACAAACTCCCACATGAAGGCCATGTATGGATGTGAATAAGGAATAACATAGTAAATAATTTCTGCTCTCCTTTTAGCTCAGTGTAACATTTTATAGGAGTACTTTAGAGATGTAACACGTATTTTTCTGTAACAATAACAGTCAAGCTGTTTGTGTCTGGAAATAGTCTGTGAAGAATGTTGCTAGTGGTAATAAATTCAGAAAGTGGGTAAAATATACTTTTAAATGCTTCACACATCACATCCAGCTGAAAGGTCCATCAGAAATATGTCACACACACTATTTTCTTTAAAAAAAATCTGATTCATGCAAAATAAAAAAGATGTGCAAAATCGTTCATTCCTCCTTGCCTTGAACGTTTCTCGAGGCTTCATAACATTTTCTCATTTGGGTTATCACTTAACAGAGAGTCTGTATTTTTGATTTCTCATACATGTCAATTGTATCTCCATTTATGGCGCTCCACTGACCAGAGGGGATAAACACAGCAGACACGGTTAAGAGTGTGAAAGCATCGCTCTCGCATGTGCAACTTGTCATGTTAAACTGGAATGACCGGCCTCCCGTGAATCAGCACGCCTCCGCACATGAACAAACACTTAAAAAGGCAGAACCATTTGAGCTGCTGGACTGACATTGAGCGGAGGTGGAGTACATTTCAATATAATTGTTGTGCGTGCAATGCGGCGGCGAGAAGAACGGAAATGACTTTTTAACCCCGACTTCCTCAGCGTCAAAACAGAAGGAAACATTTGAATAGACTTGTCCTGAATGACAGGAAGTACTTTCCAAGAGAACCAGCCATCCTACCTATAGCTGCATTGTAGTAGAGCTGGATTTGACGAGGTGAAAGAGCTCTTTCCCAGATGACAAATTCATCAAAGGCTCCTGTAACATAGTGACCATATCCGTTGTTGTTGCCCGTTCCAATGACAAGGTTATGATAGGGGTCACCATAGTTTCCCGAGACGTTGCCGTACGGGTCACCAGCAGTGAAGGTCCCATTGATGAAAACCTTCAGACCGTCCTTTTGGGTCCAGGTGAAGAGAACATGTGTCCAGTATGGGCCTGAGAAATTAAAAGGAGATACATTTATTTTCTGAGATAGCGACATGAAATCACTGATAAGGCTTTAATATAGTCAAAAATAGACATGGCTTACATCATGTCAAAAAGAGCTTTTGGCTCTACATAAACATAATTATTAATAATCTTTTTTTTTTTTTTAATGGTGGCAGAGTTGGTCCGGTTATCTCATAGTGACGAGGTCTGAATCTCGGCTGGAGCATTTTATTGTATTTTACATGTTCTTCCCGTGAGCTCAGAAACATACAGGTTAGGTTTTGGAGAATCTAAAATAATACTAGATTTGTGTGTGAGCAAGTGTAGGCTGTTAAACAAATCTAGATGTAATGCTTCACCGCTGTCGGTCGAGAACTGAAGCCACACGATCCTGATTTACAGATGCCACCATGTTTTTTGGGGTACCGGAGTCTGCGCACTTTTGAAAGGGAAGCACTCAAGTTGTGCTCTTGCATGACCTTTCTTAAAAGCGTATTTGAAAATCTATTATACGAGGTATATTTTTGGGTTTGCCCATGACAATGTCCTGTTTGTTAGCGTGGAGGGGTTGGAACTCAAACCTTGTGCCATTTTTACTGATGAATTTAAAAAATCATTGCTTCAGCTTAAACGCTTTGCTTTATTTTATGGTTGTGTGTTAGACATGCGTTTGCTACCCAAAAAAGTTTATAATATAAACGACAAAGAAGCAAACAAACAATAAATAAGTCCCAGAGGACAAAATATGATGACACATCTGTCAAAAGGACATCATAGATGTTGCTCTAATGTGCACCACATGCATCACGCAGCTCATTCTCTTTCTCACACAGAATCATTTTGTCTATAAATACCAAAACAGCTCCCGCAGTTGGTCACACAGCACCTCAACATTCTCTGAATCAACCTCTGAGCTTTTTGTCACATGTGTGAAATAAACAATGGAGATCTGACCGATTTTACAACTCTGCCTTAAAGCTCCGATACGACACACTTTATACGTAGGGGTGTTGAATCAGTTACCAGAAGGAGCCGCAATTTAAAACTTTATTATACATCAGAGATCATTTCTTGGTTGCAGGTTCATCATCAAGAGTTTGATCAGTCTCATTTGACGTTCTGTTGCTGTTTCCACATCAGAATCATTAATGACAGAATGATCCAGCCTTCTTTATGACTTCAAAGTTAGCCAGCTGGTAAGAGAAGTCTATACTAAATTATGTATTTATCAGTTTTTTTTAAAGAAAAAATTAGAAGAGAGACAATATTTTATATTTAAATTATCTTCTTGGGGGACCAGATTTGGCCCGTGGTTCTTGAGTTTGACATGTGTGCTTATAGGAACCAGATGACGTTTGATCCTCTGAAAATCAGCCCTCAAATCCAAACCAAGTTATGACATTGCAGAAAAAGATTTCAAGTAACCAGAGCAGGAAACAGAGATGACAGAAGTCACTTGAGAAGGAAACGCTGATTGGTATAAGCTTCACGCAATGCTTAACCTGACACGGTTTATCACGGTTTGTCAAAACAATTGGACAAATCATTTTATCTTATTTACAGGACATTTGTTTTTATAAATAAATCCGAACGATTGGTCATGCTTCGCCTTTTATTACATTCTGTGTAGCAGATTTTCAAGCATTTCAATCTGCAGCTTTCCCTCTCTTTCACAAGGGACTGCGTCTCATACATGATGCATTTTGTTTCACGTTGCCACAAAAATCTTTATGAAACGTGTCTTTGATTCGCAAAATCAACTGCAGCAGCATCTGGTGTCAGTTATGGCTGCACCATAAAAGCAATTACAGTTTGACGTTAAACATTTAAAATAAAAAAAACGCATTCCTTACGGATGACCAATGATTAATAAGTGACTTTGTGCTTGAAAACATGGAAATTCATTCATAATACCAGGAACTGGAATCTTGGCCTTCCATCTGTGGTTGTTTCCTCGAGTGTAGATCTCCACGTGTCCCACCAAAGGGTTGGTGAAGACCGAGAAGCCGTTGGAGATAACCTTCCCTCCAGAGGCTACAGCAAAACGGGACGCTGCTTCGAGGTTTTTCCAAAAGAAGGAGAAGGTGATACCTGGAGAATGATGAAAAATAAACGATAAAATAAAGCAATGATTGTGCACGTTTGCAAATGAAGGTTTGCATAAATGTGCTCTCACCCTCGGGCCCGCACAACATGGGATCACTAATGCACGAGTTCTGGTAGTTTCCAAAGTGAAGAAAGGTCCCACCATAATCACCATTCAAAAAGATGCCTTTGTTGACCATTCCTTCAACAATGTCTGAGGCAACGTAACAAGAGACAGGATTTTTAGGGGAAATTAGGAAAAAACACAAGATGTGTTGTGCATTTAATATCTGAAGAAAATGTAATGAAATTACATCAAATATTCAGTTAGTTCATTATTTTGTCTCCTAACTAGGAGGATTATTCAGATCTTTTCAAGTGGGGTTTTATATAAACACTATAAACAATTACTATCTTACCTGCTGCAGATGGCTTTTAGAATGACATTTGTTGGAGATTTTTCTTTTTTACTAAACTGGTGAGCTAACAGTAGATCCAAGAAGGGCCAAGATCAAAATGAACTGCTGCCATCCATCCATCCATCCATCCATCCATCCATCCATCCATCCATCCATCCATCCATCCA